AAGTTTTAAATAAATAAATATTCATTGAATGCAACATTTTGTAGTCAATAAACGTTTGAATTTAGGTCTCAGTAAGTACATTAATGGGATCAGGAAGAATTTCTTTTTCTCCCATTCTCCACTCCTACTCAGTATTACAGCTGTGACTCTCCGTATCTGGAGCGGAAACCTCCAAGGACATTTTGTCTTTTCTTTAGTACCCAGTGCAACCCATTTTAGATTTGTTTGTCTTGCAAGTCATGCTGCGTGTGTGAAAGGATGTCAAGAATTGTGATATCTTCCCTCACACTTTTAAAATAATCTTATTGAGGCACAAGATTAAAAGTTATATGTTTTCCTTGTGGAAAAATGCTTACTCACAATGTATGATATAATTAACCATGAATTTGGCTTCCCTATTACTTAATATAGATGATCAGTACAAAGGTAATATGCATGTATGATGCCTCAGCTTAAACTACAGTGCATATGCTACTGATATTAAATCACAGACACCAAGCTGTGCTTCTGACATGGAGTAGCTCTTCCCTTTGTGTGCTGTTACAGGCTGAAGAAACATTTGCCAGATAAGACTCTCAAAGCTTTTAATACACCTGCAGGAGCAAATGCTTGTTGGCTCAGTTCATTACTCCATTTGTGGCAGAAATGGAGGTGCTGCTACGTAACAAAGTAGAAGCAAATAGTGTATGGGCAAAACTCAGCAAATGGGCCTGAGTTTCATCAGCACCACAATGTGACATTTTAATCTCAGTATGAAGTTTGTTCCCACATCCTCAAGACAGTGGTTTTAAATAATTTTGAGCTGCATACTTGGAAACACTTTTGCTCATATGTTTTGCATTTTGCAATAGATTGTGACATAAATAACTGCTGCTTGTAACAATGAAGTTGAACCAGCCACAAATGAGTGTTTAATCTTTGCTGACTGCAGGAAGAGCTTTCGTAGGACTGAGTTGCCTTGCAATGGCAAATAGATGGTCTCAACTATTTTTGGAAGAAGACTATTGTCTGCATCCAAAAAAATTACAAACACCACCAAATCATTTTTAAAAACTTTTGTACTGCCTTTTCTTCTATCTCATGTTCATGACATTGGTTGATTCCCATGAAACTTTACCCAGGCCTGGGCATTTTCCCCTTAAGTAGGAGTTAAGAGTAACCATTTCTTAATAAGCACACAGAATATTTTTCTATTCCCATATAGTTGTTTTATTTGATATTTTTATAATGGAACACAAACTGGAAATGATAACAGAGAAACAGAAGGTGAGCCATCCTTGACATCATGCAACTGGGATATCACATCAGCTTAAATAGCATTGCTGTGACTTTTTTACAAATCATCTTAGACATAATTGTTGAAGCAAATAACAGCTTGGATCCATGTCTGCTCTTTTGCAGATAGAAGGGCCTTCAATAAAGTGGAAGATCATACAGGTGGAGAAGAGGCAGGGGAGGCAATTTCACCTACAGCTTCCCCATCACACCACCCATGATGTAGATTAAAATAAAGCTGGGGGGGGGGTAACAAGAGTAAATCTTGTGCTTGCAGGTGCTTTGTTCCTCCATTCTGTGGTTGCCTTTCTAACAGATTATTTTGCACCTGACTCCTGTTGGTTCTAGTGAAAAGTAAAGTAAATCTATCAGGCTTCAAGTGTATCCATCCCTGTAATAGATACATATTGCTAGATAGCATATTTACCTTGCCTTGTTGCCAAAATGGCTCTCAAGGCTGCTTCCAAAAGCCTTTTGGAAGTCCAGGTTAACAATGTCTGCTGGATCACACTGTCCATGTGTTTATTCACATTCTCAAAGAATTCTAAAATACTGGTGAGACAGGAATTAAATTTGTAAAAGCCATGTTGATTTCTTTTCAGAAGGGCATGTCCTTCCATTACTAATTTTATCTTTAATAATTCAAGCAATTTACTCAGAACCAGGCTTTAAGTTAACCCTAACCCTTTTAAGATTTGGAGTTAAATTGGTTATTTATTGTCCAATCCTGTGGTACAGAAACTGGTCTTATGTTATATATTTTTATTTAAAGAATGACAGTTTCATCTTTTTTAGCTTTTTAAAAACTCAGGAGTGGATGCTATTTGAGCCCAGTTATTTATTAATTTTCTATTTGTCAATAGAGTTGAGAACTTCATCTTCAATCAGCACCATTTCCCTCAATTTCTGAGACTCCCTTCTTGAAAACATCAGTTCAAAGACAGATATCTGTCCTTTATCTTCTGCAATGAAGAATGATGAAAAGAATTCCAAGTCTCAGTTTCCCTCCTTGTACTCCTTCAACTCCATTATCATTCAGTGTTCCAAATGTCTCCCTGGCTGTTCCCTGCTTCTGATAGATTTAAAGAATTCTTTGCCTTTGATTTGTTATTTTGGGTATTGGCATTTGATTCTGGTCTTACTGAATCAGTCTAACAGAACCAAGGAAGGGACAATTGCTGTGTGTGCGTGTGTGCAGCATCACTTGATCGTAGAGTTGCAAAAAGGACCGTTCTGGCACTGGGCTACAGTTCCCTACAAAGAAGCTTTGAGTTGGAAGGGTGCGAAAGATTCATTGCATCAGGCTGGAGGCTGTGACATCATGCTGAAATAGCTCTGGAATTTATACAGTCTATCAACCAAAGACACAGGAAGCTATAAATACAGGAAATCATAGTGTCTGTGATTCATAGAGACTACAAAGTAGAATGGCCTGTTAAGTCATCTGACTCATCTACTGGTTAAATGCCAAGTAAAATTCTCAAATGGTTCTCATGAGTTGGGTCCATGGGACAAAAAGCAGAATTTTCCTGAGATAGTGATGTCTATTTTTAATTGCTGTATTTAACATAGCAACATGTATCAGTGATATTCTATTGGAAGGTACTTTAACATTTGCTTGAAACACAGTAAATGCATCCTTTACAGTAGTGGTATTCAGCCTGTTCAAGACCCACCTCTGATTCCCACCTGGCAACAAGTGACTCACTTTCACATTCTCATAGGCTTGTTTAAACACTAGCTTTCTAGCTTGTCAATTATACGCCCCCCCCCCCCCATCACCATATAACAAAGGGGAAACTTGAGCTGCTTCTTCCTGTATTTGCCTGGAAGAATTGCTTGCTTTAGTCAAGGGGCCTTGTGCCTCTTAGTGGACTAAGGATGTAGAACCAAATTGGTCATTCCTGTCTGCCTTGAATAAACGTTGCTATTGAGGTTTCAATGGTTTCTCTGTCCTCTTTGTGGTGATGACCAGAACTTAGAGGAAGTGAAGTGGGTGGGTGGAAAACACTGTTTCCTAGTAAGAGTTGGGTTGAGCAAGTCACCATCCATTGTCAATGATGCAGATATTTACAAACAGGGCATGATTAGGCTGCATGTAGCAATAGCGATTTGCTCACATGATGAACTCTTTGTAGGTTTCTCCTCTGACTTCTTCTGTTAAATTAGTACAGAAGAAAATGTAGCATGCAATGATATACCCGAATAGGCCGTGCCCTGCAGCTTGTTTGCACCCTGTCCTGAAGTTGTGATCTTGTAGCTACCTTTCCCTAATGTGAGGTTTCTCGAAAGGTCACAGTTTTGAGATCAACGGAAACTGAGACAGACTCTGCTTACAGACTGTAGCAGCTTAATTCAGCGTGCTTGAATCATCCTTCTGGGTTGACAGTAGCTTTGGACCTATCTTGGATTGTATGGAAAGTGGGGCTGATGCTCTAGTGAAATTTATCAGTGTAAAGAAGGTGCTCCATGCAGTTTCCTGTAACATTTCCTACAGTTCTGGATTGTTAATGCCTCATCACAAGACTGAGGGGCAACTGTCACTTTGCCCAGGTGCAACAACACTGAGAATGGTCGGTCACTGCAGCACAAACAGAAAATTATCTGTCTTGTGGAGCCTTCAGCTTAAGCCATGGTCTTTGCAAGAGAAATTAATTCATGCTACCTGCACTTTCAGGCATTCCTCATATTATGATTTATTTCATTTTTACTCCTCCTCTGCTACGCATGTGCTTCTTCCTTTATGTCCCCCCATTCTCTTGGAATGTACAAGTTCCTTGAATCCGAGATTTACCTCTTTAATCATGTCACTTCAAAAAGTGCTGCATATATTAATAGGGTTCGTATGCTGCTTGAACATAATAAAAATCTTAAGTGATCTACTAAAAGTGCTATGCAAATAATGATTCCAAGACAGACCAAGACTGTTGTGGGCACAAGTGTAACACCTTTCTCAATGAACACAAAATGACAAAGACTACTGTAAAGAATAAAGCAACCAGGAACAACACAAGCAACAGTTCAAACACGATTATATGGAGAACTGATGTATTTAAATACCCAGATGCGTTTAAAAAAAAAAAAAAAAAAAAGCTGGTGTGCCTAATAATCAATTCAGCATGGGATTTGCTTCCCTGGCTGGAGAAAATTCAGAATCTACATCTGGTCATTATCTACCTTAAGATCAAACAAAATTCCATAAACGTGAAAATTTCCGAGTTCTCCTGCTAGGTGTAGAAGCAGCTTTCCCTAACTTGGGGTGCTACCACCGAAAAAGACCTCCCCAGCAGACAAAAGCTTCCCTCGGTTGGAGAGAAGGGGTGTGTGCGCACAGCGGGGGATGGAGGGTCATTTCTGTCTAGGACCGATAGAGGCTTCTCCGCACCCCGCTTCCAGGCTATGGACGGCAACTCGCCTGGTGCAGACGGAGCGGAGATCGGCGCGACTCAGTCCACCCCAAGCCCTGCCGTACGCATTCGTGCAGCGGCCAAGGACCCTGCAGGGGGCGTCCGCTCCCAGAAACGAAGGGGCTCGCGCACCCCGCCTCGCCCCACCCCACCCCAGCCCGACTCTCCTCCCCAGCCGCCACCACGTTCCTCTCGAAGAAAAGAAAGGGGCGGCGCCTGGCGGAGGAGTTCAAGGAGGAGGCGGCGGCGGCGAGGGAGGCCGGGCCCGCGGCGCTGTGCCAGAGAGGCCGGGAGACGCGGAAGGTGGCGGCTGGCTCGGGCAGCAACTGTGGCTGCGGCGGCGGGCGGGAAAGGCGGCGATGTTGGCGGCGGCGCGAGCCGACTACCTGGCGCCCTGGTGGGCATCCTGGCTGCACGGGCTCCCCCATGTGAGCTTGAGCCTGCAGCCCGTGTCCAGCGCCTTCCGCCCGAGGGACGCCGACTACCAGCAGGTGCGCTCTCGCTCGTCCCCGCGCCTGCAGCCGCCGCATTTCCCAGGCATCCCACCCGACCTCCCCCGCGCACGCACCCGCAGCCTCCTGCCCCCCGCGAGGGATTGACCTTGCGCGGCGCACTTCGCGCCACGATCATCGCCGGCTGCGGCGGAGGCGCCGCGCGCACGGGCCCCTCCTCCGCGCTGTGCCCGCTCGCCCGCGATGGGCTCGGCCGAGGCGGGGTGTCCCTGTTCCGCGCCCCGCGGATCGCTCGCGGTTGCTCGGTCCTGCGCTGGGAGCCCTGCGGGGCCCCCTCGGCCTTGTGGGGGAGAGGCGCTGCGTGGCTGCCCGGTGTGCGCCAGCTCTCCGTGGGGAGCCCGCGCTCCGGGACGCGACTCTGCCTGGAACGGTGTTTCCAACTTCTGTGCAATAGTCTCCGGCTGGGTCTTCAGAACCCGCTTTGTTCCTTCCTCCTCTCCTAATGTGGTCTAATGAAGTCTCTGGTAGTACTTAGTTCGGTATGCGCCCATGCACATCTCTAGTGCCATCTCGCCCTTAGCTGCAAGAGCGCCCCTTCCTGCCTGCTCCTCATGCCGAAGCGCCGCCCGTCCAGTCCTCCCGGAGCGAGGCAAACGCGAATCTCGCCAAGCGGATTTGGCTACTCGGTAAAAGCCCCCGAGTTCCCGGCACCGTGAAAGAATCCGATCTGCTGAGTGGTCAGCCGTGGCTGTTAGGGCTGTTGAGCCTGTTCAGAGGCTTGGTTTGGGTATTTTGCTTTGCGTCCGGTTTTGGTTTTAAGTATTAAAACGACGTACCATGTCAACATCCAGGCAACTCTCATCTCTAGGGAATTGGCCTGATTTGCAAATTAAAATAGACAAAGACTGTGCCTAAAGAATGAATGTTTTGTCTGAAGGTTTAAAAATTTTAAAGGAGCCGGGTTTGCTATTGGAATGACATATTTCTGGAGTCCTGAAAGTTTTTTGTATTTGTTTTCATAAATGTGAAGATACTTTGGTTTTCCACTGTTATTCCCAGAACTGATTTTCTGCCCCCATCTTACCTTATTCCACCTGCAAAAGAAAAAGAAGCAAGTCCCATGTCTAATCTGGTTGTGTGAGATGTGCTAAAAACCGTCCTTATCTGCTCTTCAAATAGTTAAAGCCAGTCTCTAACCCCTAATTATCTCTGTATCTTCATGGCTGTGGAAGCCTATGTAAATAGTAACCCCATTGACCTCAAAGAATGCTTTGGATATGGCATTGGCCATTAATACTGTCTAAGGCGGTATTTTTCATGTTGTCATCTCTGTTTTGAGCCAACTTTGTGGATCTTTCTTGTCTAGTTACTGGCTTTCTCCTGCAATTGTTAGTGTTCTTCATTCTTCTGTATCCAGGTTGGTGTTCATTTCTGGAGAAATTGAGTGTTTTTGAATTGTCTTTGCTGTTGATTTGCAGAACTAAATAGCTCAAAAGAGCAAGATCTCTACTGCTTTTCTTAGCAAGTGATTGTTCTTTTCCATTGGCTGTGGGTTAATCTAGCAGAAGGAAGGAAGGAGACAGTGGGTAAAGAAACTGTTGGTTGAGAAAAAGAGGTTTATTAAAAGGAAAGGGAGAGAGAAATCAGTCCTTTGCTTTCATAACCATCCCTTGGGCCTGCTTACCAGTGGTCAGTTCTGCATTTGATTGGAATTTATATAGTAACCCTGTCGTGCTTGTCTGTTTTAGCTGTGTGATTTTGTTGGCTGGTGGTTGCATATATGCTATGCTGTTTCTTCAAGAGCTTGACCTTATTATATAGCCTACCCTGGGACTTCCATATATGATTGCACAGCCTGTGATGAGAACATTTAGTATGTACTTTTGATGCATTTGCTGGGTACTCTGAACTCAAGCCTTACTTTGGCTATTAACCAAAATTTACCTCCATAATAATAAAAGGTCCTGCAGTGGGTAAACGAGCCTTTAATGAGTTCCGAAAGTATCAAAGGTTTGAAGCACACACAATCTCCAAGCTGCAGAAGCTTCCTGGGTCTGATCATTAAGCAACAGAGATGGACAAATCCTAGGGCACATTGGCCAGAGCATTGTAATTGCAATTGAGATAACCATTAAGGTCATGCTCACCTTTTAACAGCTACATTATTTCTGCCAATTTGTTAGAATATTGTCCAGGAAAGTAGAAGATGTTCTGCATGTGACACTGCATTCATGAGCACTGGAGGAAAGATCATTTGAGTGAGTTGTTCTCCTGGTGCCTATGTCACGAAAGGTTTGACTGTCCTAATGTATTTAATTAATGCCTTCACATATCTGTTTATCTGCACTTGTCTTATCCAGCACCTTCTAGGTGCATTTTAAGGATTTTTGTTGCTTCAAAACAAATGATCCTTCCAGTTAAGGTGAGTAAAGATGGTTTCTCTCCTAAAATTTTGGACACTGTAGCAGAATTCAAAGATATCTTGGAGATCATCCAGCTCAACCCTTTGCTTAGGGCAGGATCTGCAGTGCAGGCTACAACTACAGAACCCTTGAGAGAGAGCTACTGCTTAAATACATCCAAGCAATGGAGAGCCTACAGCCTCCTGGTCCACTGGCAAACAACCTGTCCATTCAGAAGGTATCTCTTGATGTTTGTCCAAATTCTGCTTCCTGGCAATTTCCATTTATGGGTTCCAACCCTTTCTGCTGGAGCAACAGCGAACAAGCCTGCTATCATGTTAACTGCTATCGTGTATCCTGTTAGTATTCTCTCCTCCAGTTTTCTCCTCTGCCAAATATGTCTGACTTGGGGATAGCATTCATCAGGCCCTAGAACTGAGCTTGAGGATGAGGCAATCTGGAGCCCTACATATGTTTTAAACTAAAATTCTCATAATCCCTTAACATGGCCACACTGGCCAGTATATAAGAGTCATAATTCAAACATCTGGAGGATACCACATTGCCTAGCTCTGCCATAAAGAGCTGAACACATGTAAAGTAGCTAGGTCAGCCTCTTCCACCCTGGTACCTGCCAGATGTTTTGGAACAATATTCCCATCAGCCTCAGCCAACATAACCAGTGGTCAAGGATAGTGGGAGAACTAGCTGTCCACTGTGGCCAGATACGCTTGGTGCACATAGTGTACCTGAAGCAGCATAGGTTTTTCAGTCATGCGCTTAATCTCATGGCACGAGCTGGACAGCTGTGCCACAGCACAGAGCCGCTTTTGCCTGCATCTCATGTGCTGAATCCTGCACTAGACTAAGGGCACATTCACATAGACGTGAAAGCACGGGGGGGATTCCTGTGTATAGTGCGTGCCACCGTCACACATTTGTGGTTCATTTTCCTAAATGGCCGGCTGCAGGGATTCGGGCTTGTTTTGCAGTGCGGTCCTATGAACGTGCCCATGACTAGGCATTAGCATCATGTAGTCTTTAATCTGTTACTTAATCTTTACTGTCACTTGCAGAATTCTGTTCACAAAGGGTTACTGGAAATCCTCAGGAGTTCTGAACCCTTTATTCTTGCAGCTGCATTTTGCAAACTATTTCCTTCATATGCCTGCCTTCCTGCTCACTCTTTCTTTGCCATTTTTTCATTGCAGCTGAAGCTTGTTGCTCACATGATGTGAGCTAAAAAAAGAAATGAATGCAGAGTTGTATATTTGTCAGATATGAAAGGTGTTGACATTTACAAATGATTAGTTTCCCCCTTTTAACTTTGAAGGAGAGGCCGAACACCCTGCCCTTTTTCAGGGTTTGCTGGATGGCCTCTTGCATTCTTCATATTGCACATTGGTCAGCTGCTACCTCTTGCCTGAGCCATGGCTGCATTTCATTGTGGTATTATCATAATTAATTTTTTGCTTAATGTGTAGTTCAAGCTGTTCTGCCTCTCATTGCACGTCTCAAAATATTGTGCCTGCTGTAGGTTTGGCTGCTGATAGGTGAAAGCTTTCCAGTTAACGTTGGCAAGCATACCGAATCCAAACAGGGCTAATCGAATCCAGGACTTCAAGTAATTCCCCATGTGGTTGAAACATGCACGTATCTGATATGCCAAGAGTGAGCACTGCAGACAGCAGAAGTGGGTAATGGTATTGATGGATCTATAGGGGAAAGAGTTGGAGTGGTGGTGGGGAATGGCACTTAACTGCAGCTAATTGCAGATAATCTTTTGGTGTTTTCCTGGAAGACAAACTAATGGAGTTTGGGTTCAGGAAGAGAAGCACTAGCAATGTTTAGTCTGAGCAGTTTTATATAAAATAGACTTCAGACGCTCCACAGCAGCTATTAAAATAAGTAAGGCTGCTAAAGTCAATCTGGCTAAAGCAGGAATTTAATATCCTCTGCCATGCTCTTATCCTATGGGAAGAGTAGATCAAGAGAGCTGTGCATGCTACTGTGATGTACGCTGAAGCTTTTGTGATGGGGGGAGGGCTTCTTGTCACCGCCATTCACTTCCCTGCAAAAGCTGTTTCTGAAGGTGCAGGTCCTGGGGACTCCATAGATCATCCTTTGTTGCAGTGAAAGGGTCTGTGGACTGAAGGAGAAATCAGCAGATAGCCTGCAGTTCATGATTCCATTTCCCAGTCCTTTCGATCTGGGCCAGCTCACATAACTGTGGGAAGGAAGGCATGCTTCTGTTACTTCAGAACAAGCACTAGTACAGGTAATGGGCTGCTGGTTCTGATTTACTCACTCAGGGCTGTGGATATGGGATTTGTGATCAGTTTTGATGATCTAAGGAAGGCCCGTTTGTGCCCAAAAGAAATGTAACTTCCTGTACTCAGCGTTGCTGAGAGGAACACTGGACAGACAGCATCTCAAGACAGATGGTTGGACCATCGCTGGTGCAGCCTGAGTCACGGTTTCAAGTGACAGTTGCAAGATGCTGCTGTTAATAGGGGATGTAGCTTAAAATATGCTTGGTGTGTGCAGGTCAAGAGCAGGACCATTAAACTATCACACCCTTTGGAATTGAATAGAATGGACCAGTCCTTGCTTCTGCAGCAGGGGTGGACAGAAGGT